ATTTTATTTTTCAAAATGAATATTTTACATCAAAACAAACGGAGCCTTAAAGTTTTCTCATTTTTCTTTCCTTTTTCTTTTTTTACTGCTACCCTTAAAATTCTTTTATTTAATGTGCATATTTGAATAATTTTCTTCTTTGTCTTTATAATTTTATAATTGTTTATATATATATATAGACTCCGTATTGTTTTTTTTCTTGGCAGCCTGCCCCCCTCACCTGAAATCCTGGCTCCGTCGCTATCCTTTAGATTTCTCGCCGTTGAATGTAATTGTGAGATCCACTTGAGGAATAATTCAACAGTTGAGAGACTCCGAGAATACAATACCCCAAGATATTATAGAATTTCTCGTGCTACATTCCATATGGCATGTCTTGTAGTCTCCAGAGGATTATTGGAGACATTGTCATGCAAATTTTATTATATTTTATTTTTAAATTTTGGGTAAGTTAAAAATAAGAAAAGGGATAAAAAAAAAGGAGTGTAACACAACAAAAGAGTCACCTATTTTAGTACTACTCTTGTTCAAATTAACCACATAGAATCCGATACATTGGTGCGGTATTATTGCCCCCATTGTCATGAAACTTTTGATATTCCTGTTTCTACTCCAGTATCACTACTGTATATCTGTTACAAGGGGAAACTTGTCCCACATCGGATCCGGATGGGAAGTGACATGGGTATAAATGGGTGGGTATGCAGCACTACCCAACAGTTCGAGTTTTTGGGTAAATGGATAAGCGCCCACCCGTTACAGTTAGTATCAGAGTCAGACCCAGTCCTTGATCCGGTGCCACGCCAAGCGCCCGGTCCGAAAAGCGTCCAGGTGTGCCACCCCGGGTGAGCAGGGTGGCCTAACCGTAACGAGGGCGTTTCAAGTTCGGGTGGGGAAGAATGTTATAAGGGGAAACTTGTCCTACATCGGATCCGAATGGGAAGTGACATGGGTATAAATGGGTGGGTATACAGCACTACCCAACAGTGCAAACGCCCACTCGTTACAATATCTATCCTAGCATGTGCATAAGGCTGGTGATTATGTCCTTTCTAGTTAGTTGATTGTAAGGGGCTTTGTCTTTTGGTGTACAAATGGTATAGCTTTTACTCATTTTATTTAGATCCCTTGAATTATTATTATTATTATTTTTTTCTTTTTTCACCTTGAATTATGGAAACCGCAAATTAAGTATATATGCATGTTCTTTGGGTAACACATGAGAAAATAATAGTAGGATGGAATTGTGAGGGTACAAAAAGATCATAATATATGTTTTTTTCTTTTTTTTTTTTGGAAAAGTTAAACAACTGCTATAAATATGTTGCATATGTTGCAAATGAAGAAGACAGAGAATCATCTTTTGAGGTATTCCTTCAATTCCAAGGAAGATGAATGATCAATTTTCTACTATTTGTAACTACGTGCATTGTGTGGAATGTGGATTCCCCAAACCGACTATCCTCAAATATGGGCCCTACTCTTGGTACAAGGTTGTGACAGCATGGCCTATTAAAAGACCAGTGGTCCCAACATGTAAGAGTCTCTGTCTCAAATTCATAACATTGAAAACATGGGTCAAATCAAGTGTGTGTGTATATATATATATATATATATATATTTTTTTTCCTTCTAGTGAGAGAGGTGTAGGTGCAATTCAGGCGGTTTGAAGAATCGAACCAACCTTAATTCGAGGGATAAAATCTTCAACTCAAGTTATTCAAATCTAGCTTAATAGATGCTTAAATTTTTGAACTCAGATGAAAAGAGTCTGGCTAAAATTCCGATTGATCTCAAGTTAGTATGAGTTTGGTTATTATTACACATAAAAAAAAATCCAAAAATTAATGTAAATATAACATATTCTAAACAGATTCTAAAAAATTTCAAGATTGTTTTCATGAAGTGCCATAGGAACTTCTAGAAAAGTAAAATTTTTTGTTTATGTTGGAGCTGAGCCACGAAATCAGGGAACTTTAGTTGCACACACTACACACACATTGGATTTGGTCCATTTTTCTAATCTATATGTTTTGGTTTGTTGGTAATTGAAAAAATGCATCATGACATATGTTGGTTGCAAAGCATTAAAATCATAGTCTTGCTGAGATAAAAGTACGAACTTTACCATGCATGCATCTACTGAGTTACACCAGTGGTTTTTTTGGGGCCATATATAAATGATGTTGTTGGTATGTGTAGGCAGGAATTCGAGATAAGGGTATAGAAGTCTTTGTCAATGCAACTCGTGATTGTTAACCCTCCACTAGGTTTACAATGTAAAATCTATTGAATTAAATGTGTTTTTATTTATGTGATTATATATACACTGTTTAATGATATATATTCGGTCCCGAAAAAAGGTGAGAGTGAAATTTTTTCTTGATATGGGACTATCTAACCTCTAAATATACTAATCTTTATAAGAGTAATGATAGTTTTATCGAAATTATGCACCGATTTGTTAGGTAGAATAATGTGACAGTTCAGCTAGCAAAGAATGTAATTTAAAGTGATTTTTTACTAATCTAATTATTCACTTTTACTGTTCACCATTCCATTCTTAATTTCAAAAACCTCTCTGCCGTCCTCAATTTCTCACTTTTTTTTTTTTTTTTTTTTTTACGCGATCTGCAACAACTTCAAGTGTTTTGACAAGCTACAACAAGCTTTTAACGATTTCCAGAGTACCAAATATATATATATATATATATATATATATATATATATATATATATATATATCAATCATATGTATATATTGCTACAATTTTTTTTTTTTAAGAGTTCAACGTTAATGTCAATCCATTGAATAGAGATTGATTCAGACGACTAGTGCTAATTAAACAATTCCATCTAAATATATATTGAATAGAGATTGATTCAGATGGCTAGTGCTGATCAAACAATTCCATCTAAGTATGTATGTATATATATATATATATATATATATATGATTTACCAGAGGTACTCAATAGTTTCAAATCATCAAAAAGTTACAAATCGTCACGTTAAATCATATTCTCTGCCAACTGAATTGCTACATCATTTTGCCCAACAATTTGGTGCATGGCTTCGGTGTAACTATCGTTACCCTCTTTAAAATTATATGAAAATTGAAGAATCTCAATCCACTAAGCATGAAATTTGTATTTTAAGTAATATAAAAGAAAATCTTGGTAATTTTAAAATAGAATAATACATTAATTACATGTCTCTTTAAAATGTTACAGGGACAAGTAATATGAAATCTACAAGAGTATTTTTTACATCAATGCACCGTCCTGGATTGACAAAAAAAAAAAAAAAAAACCCAACTATGAACAACACTGAAATAGTGAAATGAACTAATGGGGACACACATATAATCTCTCTATCAAATAACACTGAAATAATCAACTAATGAGAATATATATGACATGTTCTAAATGATTTTTCCTAAATAATGTAACGATATGTGAATCACATTTCACACAGAATATAGAGAATATATAATTTGTTTCCTGAGCTTAGTTACCCAGATTCATGGAGTTTGAAAATAGTCCAATGAAAAATTGCCTTTTGTGCTTATTATTTCTTCAAGTACTAAAATTTGATATTCATAGGAGATTTCTTGTAGAAGTGTTCTAAAAGACTTTAATAAGTAAAATGTGATTAAATTCTTCAACTCATGTTAAATGTATTATATATAACTACTACTCGTCGTACTCGAACAAGAAACAATGAAAATTTTGTCACTCTTATTCCTTGCTACAATTTTATCAACTTCCCATGGGTCACAACCAGAAATCCCCAACCAAATTCACTTAAAATTTACTTATAACCCAATAATACCCTTAAAAAACTTAAAATTTTAATTTCAAAAAAAGCAAAAACCTAAAAAGCAATAGAATATTGTATAAGCAAATATACTAAAAATTTGTCTTTTTCACTTCAGTGATGCGGTGTACCCACGATCACATATTCTTCACCAGTTGGCACCGACTCTCCTGTAACATATGAGAGGATTTTGCTCCCTTTTTGTTTGGTGCAAGGTTAGAAAACTATTCTCATTTTTTTTTCCCCTTCGAGTGAGGGGAGGTGCCGGTGCAATTCGGGCGAGTTGTAGGGTCGAACCAACCTTAATTCAAGGGATAAAATCTTGATTTTTGAACTCAACTTAACCTGACCTTCAACTCAAGTTTTCCAATCCTAGCTTAATGGATGCTTATCGAAGTATCTAAGAAGTAATGCATCATGACGTGTGTTGGTTGCAAAGCATTAAAATCATAGTCTTGCTGAGATAAAAGTACAGACTTTACCATGCATATATCTATTGAATCACACTACTGTTTTTTTTTGGGGGCCATATATAAATGATGTTGTTGGGTGCAGGCAAGAATTCGAGAAAAGGGGCGCGGAATATTCAGATTATATATTCGGTCGAAAAACAAGGTAAGAGTGAATTTTTTTCTTGATATTCAGGCTATCTAACTTTTTCTTTATAATTATATGAAAATTGAAGAATTCCACTAACCGTGAAATTTTTATTTTAATTTAAAAAAACAATGCATTAATTTTATGTCTCTTTAAAAATTTATAGGAACAAATAGGGACGGAACTGCATACAAATCGGGAGGCCTTTCTATGTTGTTACTTCTTCAGGTGCTACAATTTGATATTCATAGGAGATTTCTTGTAGAAGTGTTCTAAAAGACTTTAGTAAGTAAAATGTGATTAAATTCTTCAGCTCATGTGAAATGTATTATATATATATATATATATATATATATATATATGTTTTCATCTTGTAATACTGGATTAAAATGTGATCCATATACTGCATTATGTTGTCATGAAACTCATGTCTCCATGCAAGAATGCAACTTTTTGGACCCATACCAATATAAAATCCTAGGGTTGGCCCCACATTTAGTTGCAAAATTTGTATCAGTCCAACAAGATAAGGCCTATTTAAAGAAGGCAAATGAGCAATGCAAAAGTGTACAATTTGCTTGGAAAATTAGCATCGCTCCCTACTCGAACAAAAAACAATGAAAATTTGGTCACTCTTATTCCTTGCTACAATTTTGTCGACATCCCATGGATCACACATAGAAATCCCCAACCAAATTCACTCTCTCCGGCCGCAGTCCGGGGCTGCCGGAACTCATGTTCCCGGCCTATCCTGCCTGAGTTGGCGACTGGGCGTGGAAACCCACAACATCATTGGCTGGTCCACCATCCCTCAGGCGTGCGAAAACTACGTCGGACACTACATGCTCGGCCACCAGTACCGGAAAGACTCCAAAGCTGTCACTGATGAAGCTTTGCTCTATGCAAAGAGTCTCGCGCTTGGCGGAGATGGCAAGGACATTTGGGTTTTTGACATTGATGAGACTGCACTCTCTAATCTACCTTACTATGCTGAGCATGCACAATTTGGGTAAGTAAAAATTTATTCCCTTTTATTTTATTTTTTTTTTTTTCATTCCATTTTGATAATGAAAAATGTTTTGTTTCGATGAAGTCGTGAAAACTTTGAGAAGGGTTAGCAATTGTTTATTGTGAGTTACAGTTGCCATACGGACCATATACATTAAATTTCATACCTAACATAGAATCTAGTTATCAATAAATAGGTAAAATTATACACAAGTAGAAATAATAGTCTTTCCTAAATAACAAATTATTCAATTTTAAAAATTGATTTTCTATTTTGATTGAATTAAACAAAATAATTATAAATACATCAATATTTATAACTCCCGTCCAAAATGTTCACACTCTCTTATTTTAAAATATCGGTTAAAATTATATAATTTCAATATAATAAAATAAATAATTAAAAATTAATTTAACTAACAAATCATTATTTTCGTCATCAATCAGCCACCAGCATGGGCACCACTTTCCTTTTCTCTACTTTATTGGTCTTCTAGGTCCCTCTCCCTCTCCCCCTCTCTCTCTCTCTCTCTCTCCACACACACACACATATATATAAAAATATGTAATCATTTTTGTTCAGAAATTTCAAATCTGTGACTATGTGTGCTTTAAAAATATTTTGTATCTCATGGAATTATAATTTTTGCATAGAGTTATTAATTTGAAATCTCAAAATTTGTTGTGATTTTTAATAATTAATTAAAGAAAGAAAACAAACAACTAGAGGATATTACAATACTTCATTACCGTTGCTTCCCAACACCAAAGAGTTGAGATTCTTAACAAATTCCATTATAGTTTTGACAACTTCCAGTATACTCCGTAACAATAACAATAGCTTCATTTAGGTAATAATTGAAGGGCAGTCCAAATTACAGTCTCTCCACTTTAGTGGCAGATTGAGACGAAGAAAAGAGCCAGAGAATTTTTATTTGCTAGTTAAACTACTTTTTAATTATTTATTTTAATTTTTGAAATTATATAATTTTTAAAAAGATATTTTTGTATTTTGGAATACTGAGTGTGAGAACATTTTGGGCCTAAGTAATAATTCTTGATGAAATTGTAATTTTTTCTTTTTTTTTTAAATGGCAAGAAACTCACACACATCACTCTCACACCCACTTTGTTCATTTAGAGCCTCAAACTATCACCAACCACTTTGAAATTATTTGAACCTTTACCATCTATTTTGAAATTATTTCACATAATTCAATCATGATAAAAATAACAAATAAATAAAATTAACTTTTAAAATTAATCAATTTGTTTTTTTGAACTCGTATAGTTTTTCCTATCTTTAATTAATGATATACAAATGAATATTTATTGGAAGCACGTACTAGACCTCCTTTTTCTTCCTTTTTTTATTTATTTATTTTGTCTTCTCTTTCTTTCATTCTTTCTTTCTTTTTCTGTTTTTTATTTTTTACTCCTCCCATTACATTACTTTTCAAATTATATCAGCATCATGAATATAAAATGCCGAAAGAAGGATCAGCAAGAATATGAACCCTTGTCCCTTTGTCTAAAGTGTATGTATAGATGACAGTGATTGAAATATTTTCTGTGATTCTACAAGCATTCCCTCAATTATTCATTCAAATTTATTAGAAAAAAAAAAAGTGTGAAAATTCGTTTGGTTGAGTGTTGTGATTTTTGATTAAAAAAATATCTCAATTTTAGTGAGCAACATTTTTGTGTTTTCTCAAAAACTATTTTCTGTTGAGATCATAGAACCAAAGAAGTGCCTTAATTTTTCTTTTTACCTTCTCTTATAGTTTTCTTCAAAATTTTGTAATTAAATTCCATTTTCCAATATAATGCCACAACTGAGTAGGTCCAGACTTATTGAATCTATATGTCTGATTAGTACATATTGTAAAATAAATAAATAAAATCTAAGAAAGATTTGTTGTTCCCATTATGACTATAAATTGACAATGACCATACTGAAATTAATTAATTACAGAGCACTGCCATATAACTCAACACTTTTCAATGAATGGGTCAACACTGGCAAAGCACCACCATTGCCGGAGACTCTCAAGCTGTACAAAAAGCTGCTCTCTCTCGGCTTCAAGATTGTCTTCTTAACAGGCAGACCAGAATTGCAGAGAAGTGTCACGCAAACCAACCTAAAGAATGTAGGATTCTACACTTGGGAGAAGCTCATACTCAAGTAAGCAAGCACCATTATTCGAATTTTTACTTTGACATTACTTTTGCACAAAGGAATTGTGTCAAACACTAACTCACGTCTTCTCCGCTTATCAAAATTGATTTTAACGATTGTTACGAGTTTTTTATGACATATTTTTGGTCACAGACCATCTTCCGCGACAAGTAGTACAGCAGTTATATACAAATCGAGTCAGAGGGAAAAACTTGAGAAGATTGGATACAGGATCATTGGCAACGCTGGTGATCAGTGGAGTGATCTGTTAGGTACCCATGTCGGCAATCGGACTTTCAAGCTGCCTGATCCAATGTACTACATTAGTTGAATGTTCAAAATCATGGATGTTTTGTTCATGAGACAAGATTTCAAATGTAGGTTTTGGGGGTTGTGAATTGTGATGGAACTGATATAAAGTTTCATGGCCAAGTTTACTGAGATCTTTAATTGTTTCAATTTGAATGCCTTTTTGAAGTAGAATTGAACTTGAGAAACTGATTTTGTACAAGCTTCATGTTTGAGTATTGTTAAGTTTGAAATAATAAGAGTCCAAACAACTTTAGCCTAACCTTATAACCTCCCTTCCTTTAAGTAGGAGGGGAAGAGTTTGAATCCGGGTATGGGCAAAAAGGGGTGGATTTGTTTTATTCAAAAAATAAAATTAAACAAATAAAATAAAAATTAAAAAATCCCTAGGCATATATGTTCAATTTTGATGTATATGTAATGGTTCTAAACTGGATTGGGCCTAATCCAACCCCAAGTAGACAAACGAGCAGCTTGATCAAATCAAATGATTCTTTCAAGTTTTGTTTTTAGTTTCAACCAAATCATATAAAATCAAATGGAGATAATTGCAACTAAGTCAAACTTTTCATTTATCACTTTACCAAAATAATTGGGAATTTTTTTTTTTTTTTCATATATTGAATTTTTCGAGCCAGTTTGGCAACTGCTTTTGTTTAGTGTTTTTTTGTTTTTGTGAGTGTATTGTAGTGAAGCAAAATCACGAAGCATGTTAGGTAACGTTTGCTAAATTTTGAATACTACCAAATCGCTTTTGAAAAAGAGACCAAAATAGGAAGTAAAAAATTGATACTTCTGGTTTTACAAACATGTTTTCATGTTTTAATTTTTAAAAATCTTGCAACAAATATATGTTATCAAATAAGCTTTCAAATAGTATTGAACATACTTTAAAACAAAAACATTGCTTTTACTTGGAGTCAAAACAAAAGTACAAAACAATTGTGGTTGTCAAACGCCTTTGAATAAAACACATATGTACATGCTTATCAAACACAGGTTGAAAATTTATTTTTCCATCATTCACTTGATCACTTCACATCCACATTTCATGCTAATCGCTTTAAAGTTGAATTTTACTCTATTTTATTTTAAAATAAATTCATTCATCATGGCCCTATTTGGTAATTATTTTTGTTTCATGCTTTTTACTTTGAACAGTATATCATTGCGAAGCAAAACAGGAAAGTGTGTCTGATAAAGTTTGCTACGATTTGAATAGTACTAAAATGTCTCCAAGTGTTTCCGATTGCTTCTACACTATAGCATGAATAAAATTAAAATAAAACAACAACAACGACAACTCTTAAATGACCTTTTTAATGGTTATTTTATTTTTCAAACTTGTAACATTTTTTTATAAAATATAACATACTTTGGATTACTATTTGACTTTAAAGCATTACTTCTGTTTTGGATCGAAATAAAAACACAGAGCAAAATCAGTTGTCAAACAGTTTCTCTACTATTCGATCAAAGGCAAGCACTGAGTGAATGTAACTAATAAGATCTCCTTTGATTATATATCTCCCTCTCTCCTTTTTGTGAAAATTGATGATTTTTTCTGATTTTTTGGTGCTTTTATGATTAATTATATGATAACTAGTAATAATCAATTAGTACTTAGGCTAGCATATAAAAAATGAGGAATTGATTATTTACGCGAGGCTCTATTTCAAGAGATAAATTAAATTTTACAGTCGTCATTAAATATACAAAAATTCTTCTTTTAATTTATAACAAATAAGTGGATATCAAACTTCAAAGTGAGCTGTTCAACAGCTTGGCCTACTAAAGGAAGAGAGCATAGCATTTAGGGTGATAATCAACACACGTATTTAATTATTAAAATCGCTATTCTTAATCGTAGAATCATTGGCTGCTATGACGTTAAATACCCAAAACGATTAGAATAGCACAAAATCGTTTATAAAGTAGAATCGGTGGAACTCCTTTCTTTGTTTCTTTGGGCTGATACAATAAATTGGTATTGGGTCTTTTTAATTAATAAGGAAGCCCAATCATTTTTGGGCCCAAAACAGAAAATAATATAAGGATGAAAAAAAAAACAGGGACTGCTGCTTCTTTTTGACGAGCAGCTTTGAGCCTTCTCACCGCTTCTTCGACATTCAGCGAACACACCAAGAACTTGCTCTTCGACAGTCGCGAACAGAGAGTCTCAGACACGGTCAATTGCGAAGACATCAAGCCTTCTCAAATTCAACTGGTTCGAAGTCCTCAATCCTCACTCCTCTAACCTTCTAAGTTTTCACTTCTCAGATTACTCAACAAAGTAACAAGCTCAAGGTTTTTTTGTTGGTTTTTTTTTCTGCTTCCATTCTATCTTCTGTGCAAATTTATTTATAGAGAAACTAATCAGGTAGCTGATATCACAGGATGTATTGTTTTGAGAATTATGTTTATAAAGTTTTGAATCTGATTTGGCTGAGGAGATTAAATAATGTGATTTGCAATAATTTATGTTTGGCGTTTTCAATTTCATATCGATTGAAATTTCAGAAGCAGTATTATATTTTTGTGTTGTGATTTGTTTCGAATCATAAACATATTAATAACTACTTGGTCCATACTCCATAGTCCACACGTGAGTCTGTGACTACTTGGTGATGATGATTTTGAGGAATTTGTTCAATTTTGAGGATTTTTGTTTTGTTTTCTTTTCTGTTCTGTTTATGTCTCAATTTTTTGTGTTTTGGCCTTATTCTTGCTATATTTTACAAACAATATTGTTTTAAAAAGTATTTTGAATTTTTTTTTACAAATTGGTAGAATCTTACGATTTACTATCTGATTCTATGAAATCCAAAATGATTCTACCGTAGAATCCCGATTTTAACAATCTTGGGTCACTATTTCAAGCCACAACTTAGAATTGGGTTTAAAAGAGCGAAAATGGAATTTATGGTTGTTGAATAATTTAAATATTAAAGTTATACCGTCTCTAACAACTTCAGCTTTTAGAGTGATGGTGGTTAACATAGTATCAAAGCCAAATGTCTCGAGTTCAAACCTCACCATTACCTTGAAAATTAAAATTGGAAAACACGTGTTGGACCAAAAGAAGTCCACACGTGAGGGGGCGTGTCAAAGGATTTAAATATTAAAGTTACACCATCTCTAACAACTTCAGCTTTTAGAGTAGATGGTAGTTAGCAATGGTTCTGAAAAATGATGAAAAAAAAAAAAATCTTATGTATTGAATCCAAATCTGCTCTTGTTTTGCTAATATGCTCTTTGAGTCTGAATTCAGCCTCCTTGACCATTGAAGGGGGTGCATACGTTTATAAATATATATTTTGCATATATGATGGCAGTGGAATAAATTTTCATGTAATTTGTTTTTGTTCTTGGCAGATGGCCTTTAGAGGACGAGGACGAGGACGTGGATTTGGGGGTGGAGGATTTCACAGCGCTAAGCAAGAGCCATTTGTACTCTTTCCGGTAATTAACTACCCGTGTCATGTGATGGACACATACATGTACTCGTATGTATATATTACGAACATACTCTTTATTACAATTGGTCTTTTAGTATCATCAAGTTAGATGAGACTATGATTCTAAAATCATGAATAATGTTTCTTAGGTATGATAAATGGCTTGTTTTATTTTATGAAATTAAATATGGAAAGTTTAACTTCAAGACCCTTAAGCCCCAACTACCTTCTTCTTTTCTTGTTATTTAGCTCTATCAAAGTGCCATATATATTCCTTTAAATTGCAGGCCCTCTTCTTTACTCTTCCTATATTAATATCGACCCCCAGTCATGTTGCCCTTGTTCTTGTTGTCTGAATGAAATTCAACTATATTTGGATTCTAACTGGTAATGAACTCAATTATGTAAGGCACTCAAATAGGGATATTGATATTGATACTTGATCCCACACTCCCTCTTGCTTTCCTCCTTCCCTATCAAGTGATCTACCCTTTTAATCCCTTTCTTACACTTGTGGTTATAGTAATACCAAGTGATTTATGAAAACATGGAAAGGTGCTGTTGGGCAGATCAAAATCAAAGAAAAAATGCTGTGTAAAATGTCTTTAAAAAAATAAAAATAAAAAACTGCCTTGTTTCTGTTGAATGGATTAGACATGGGAATTCTCAAACTTTTTGCTTGATCTTTGTTGCCAGATAGTTAATTAGGTTAATCCATCTTTTGTCCATAAAACTAAGTGTTCATAGATATAATGGTACGCAATTGATTAAGTGACTTAGCTGGATCAGATTACTTCAGTCAATACAAGTAATTGAGATAAGTCTTGGAGGATGGCGATTTATTCTTGTTCATACATGCTTACATCTTGAGTGATCTCTATAGTTTTTTTTTTATTAACTTAATGTTGTCAAAATTTTCCCTTCAACTTATTGTTATATGAATTCGTACTCAATTGCAGGACATTGAAAACTTCCCTGATGCCAAAAGTGTGACTGAAGAAACTACTTTAGTTGTTTTGAATTCAAGGTTGCAGAAATTTTGGAATTCTTCTCCTTATTATATCAAAGACAAAGATCAAGGAGGTAAACATTCAATAGTTCAAAATATTTATTTAGGAAAAAGAGAATACAAATAAGGATAGTAGGTACCTCATAAATAGAAGATGATTCAGCTTCTGATAGGATGAATTTGCATTTGTTTGTCTCATATTATTATTTTTTTGATAAGTAAATGATTTGTAATTAGTTTGTCTCATATTATTGGTAGTCAGAAGATGACATGATGAATTATTCTAGAATATTTATTTGCTGAGGATTGATGTGTAAGGAATATTTATTTTCTTATTAGCGGATGGGCTTTGGCTAGAGTTATTTTTACAAGTGGTTAGAAAAAGTTTAGGCTCTGACTTGCATGTATTGATATTTGCATAGCATGAAGATATGAAGAACAATTACATGTGAGGAAAATCAAGCAAGGCTCCTTGAATTATCCTGCATTTGCGAATAACCTCCCTAAACTAAAAAAATAAGTAAATAATAATTTACTATAAAAGATTGCAAATGATCCTTCTTCCATCATTTAGCTGTTAGAATAGTGATCCTTGTTCCATCATTCTTTTGCCTTTTGTGGATAGCTTGAGGCTATAGTTTTTGTGCAGTTGTTTTGGTCTGCGCCAACCCCCGCACCAAAAAAAAAATTTGTTCACGATTAAGTTTCGTATCTGTCTCCAAAAAATAAATCCCTTTTTATATTTTTTGTTCAAGAGTAATTTAGTCTGAGGAAATGGACATATTGGTCAAAATATAACATTAATATGTCATGTGAGGCACAGATGATCTCTTTTTGATCCATTTCCTAGAGGCAACTAAACAACATTGGGTAATCTACAATTTTTTTACAAAAGTATGGGGGTTGATTTGCCAAATTAATAGTTTAGGAGGTTTATTTGCAAATCTGATTAAGTTCAAGAGGGTTTTTTTGCATTTTGCCCTTGTTTCTATTTGCACCCTCAAAAAATGAAACTTGGGTTTGCTTTTGATTATTTTCTGTCTTAGTTTTAAATAAGGAAAAAACTTCACGTTAGATGCAATTTAACAGTATTAAGGTAGAATTGTAGAAATGATATAAGTGCGTACCGGCATACATATTTAGGAGGTAGTGATTATATATCTAACAACTTGCAGCCACTTTTTCAGTTATTAATTTCCTCCCTCTACTTCAGATATGGTCAAAATAGTTAGTTGAGAATTATTATATAAGATTCTCATTAGGCACTCCATGCTCTGAAATTTCTACCAGCCAAATGTAAGGAGCAAATTCATTGCATTTCAGTTCAATAACAACATGCATGGCTTTACTTCTGTTATTAAAGAAAAAGGTACACCATTTTTGATTGATTGCATAACTACACCAGAAAATTGCTTCCCTGAAATTTCTATATTTTTAAGTTTTTTTACTGGAAAATTGTCTGTATTTTTTATGTTTCATCTCACATATTCATGATTTCAATTCGCATGGCATTTTTTTGTTTTGGTAGGTTAACATAATAACATTGCATCTTTTGAGCAATTAGTTGTAGTGAACCATTCTGTTAATCCATGCAGCCAACTACTTATCAATTATAAACAACAACAACAATAATAATAATAATAATAATATTATTATTAATATTATTATTATTATTATTATTAATAAAAGAAAAAAACATTGCCTCTAATTATTGTTGCAGATAAAAATGTGGATATTTCTGTATGTAGTCCATTTGTTTAATTTTTTTCATTTGTCCTTGAATTTCCTGTTTGCAATAGTGTCCTGTTCAGTTCCGTCTTGCTGCTGTTATAGTTTAATTTTTAAAATTAGTGCATAATTCTATTTGATTTTAGTATCTCCATCTCATTAACATTCCAAATGTGGTGTCACAGAAAATGCAATATCCAAGCTTTCACAGTTCATGAAGATGAGTTTCAAATATGTTCCTGCTGAACTAGCTAAAGGTTTGCCACTTACAAAAATTTGGAATAATGATTTAAGATTTTCTTTCACATGATTTCAGCGCCGTTACACCAGTGGACACTACTTTAATGATGTAATAAAATTTCAGGTTCGAAACAGGAGAAACAAGGCAAAGAAAAAGTGCGATGGAAACCAGATTCAGGTCTGCTAAAATAGGATGCATTGATTCCATTTCTCTGCTTGTCTCTTTTCCAACACTTTTTCTACATTCAACCCTATTTCTTTTGCTATCTTGATTGGAGATTTGTCAGTATTTATGAAAGCCAGATCCATTTTTTAAATTTTATTTCTAGTGTAGAAATTCACTAAATTGTTTAGATTTTGATGATATTCAACTTTTGCATTTCTACCATCCTCTTGAGATTGTTTTTGACAGTACTATTTGGCTATCCATATTATCAAGCCTGTCTCATTTCTCCGTTTGTTTTGAATTACATTAATAAATTTAGAGATATCTATTGTGCAACTAGGTTGTTCTATCTAACCTTTACAAGCTTCTATGTTCACTCACTATGTAGATGTGTCTACTTATGTGATTCAAGCTATGCTGCTAGGAAAAACTGATGATATATAAAAGGGGACTAGGGGGCAAACTAACCAGCTACTTTATTGAATGAAGGTAATCAAATATTTAGAAACCAGTCCAACACAATCAGGGTGTTGTAAATGTTAGATGACCAGAAAATTTTGTGAAGAGCCAATAGAGGATAACGATTATCCAGTTTACCCCTTAAATAGGAGAATTTCTTTATCTTTTGATTGTTCCTGTTGTACGTATCACACATTGTCAAACGCAAGGAAGGGCTATAGCTGGGCTTCGTAACAGATGTACTTTGTTTGGGCTTTGATTTTGTCTTAATGGACTCGCACATTTTCGCAAAAGAGTGTGCCTTAATTTCTGTAGCAAAACTGATCTAGAGAAGCCTGAGAAGGGGACAATTGACAAAGTAACCTGTATTACTTTATAATTCTTTAGACGGAGGTCAATCTAGCATTCAGATATACTGGTGCAACACAATCAGGGTGTTGAAATGTTAGGTTCCCAGAAATTTTTTATGAAGAGCCAATAGAGGATAATAATTTATCCACCCATACCCATTAAGTAGGAAATTTTCTTTATCATTTGATTGTTCCAGTTTCACATATCACGTTGTCAAATGGTATGGAGAGCTACGGTTGTGCTTTATAATGGATGTGCTTCTTTGGGCTTTGATTTTGTCAATATCGACTCTCTGATCATTTTAACACTCAGTAAAAGAGTAGCTACACCTTCCATCCTTGTTTGACCTCAATCTTAAATTATTACTCCCTCTGTCCCAAAAAATATGTCCCTTTTGGGAACCTAACTTTTTAAGAGTGTAGTTTTTAATATTTATTTTTCCCTGAATGGGATTTTTTTTTTTTTTTATATATAAAGCAAAATAGTACAATTACAACAGAAGGTATAAAAACCTCCAACACAAACCAAGAAATGGAAAATATCCATTTGCAAAGAAAAACAAACCAAACCTAAGAAAAAAATAACAAAAAAACCAAAAATATGGTTCTCTGAAGTAGAATGAGCATATGGTCCAGTACACTGCAATCTGCAATCTTAGCACATTGCATCAACAATCAACCAGATCAGAAAAATCTTTCTCATTAAAAAATGAGAAGGAAGTCTTCTAATCTGAGTTTGAGATGTGACAAAACCTCCCATATAATCGACTGAGCAGCCTGAGTAGCTTGAGTTTGAACTCCATTATGCAAAGCCTCATTTCTAATAACCCAAATTTTCCAAATAGCAGTTGAAAAAACTGAGCTCAACACTTTTGATTTGGTAGAATCAGTAGTGGTCTGCTGTCCAAACCATTCCACCACTTGCATCAGAGAAATACAATGTGGATTATCAATGTGAAGAAGGGAAAAAATCTCATGCCAAACCTGTTGAGCATAGATGCAAGTACAGAAAAGATGATCATTGGAGTCCACATTCCTCATACAGTTGTGACATATAGCAGTAATAGTGATGCCTCGTTTTTGCAAATTAATCAAGGATAATTTATTATTATTATTATAGTGGTTAGGGATGACAATGGGGCGGTTTGGATTCCCCATCCCCGTTTAATTTTTCCACCCCCATAACGGCCCAAAAACCCGCCGCGTTTTTCATAACAGCCCCCATCCCCATCCCCATTTCGGTTCCCCCCCACCCCCACGGGGCCCTGCCAGGGTGGAGATTTTTGTCATCCCTACTCGCAGCTCTCTATTTTTTTCACAAGACTTAAGACATGAAACGAAATGAGGGCTAGGGTTTCCTCCTGTGTGTGTATATACTTAACCTATTTTAATTATATATCATAGTATGTAATGGTAATTTAATAAATTTATAGTATATTCGGGGCGGGGCGGGCAGGCCTCCGCCGGGGTGGGGATTTTTGTCATTCCTAATTGTGGTAGTTAATAAATTTTCAAATATACCCTTTATGGTCCCGCATAACTTGAATTGCTTTTATAACTTCAAGACAATGAGAGTTAATTTGGAATATTAAAAAAAAAAATAGTGCATTGGATTTTAAATTGGGACAATTATTTTGGGACAGCCAAAAATGGAAAGGTGGACATTTTTTGTGGGATGGAGGGAGTATTACATATTTTTTAATATCTTCATGACTGTGTGAACTTAATTATGCTCAATAATAAGTCACTTTATTTCCTACAGCATTTAAATGATCCATTCCCGTTGTCCTCAAAAATATTTATTTGAACTTCTAGTACGTCAATTTCCAAGTTTTAAAAATAATGTACGATTTATTTGGAGTCTCACCTCACCATAAGGTGAAGGTTGATGATGCTTTTCTTTCTCCCAGAATTAAGGCCCTCTTTATGCGGTTGCAATTCTGCCATATAACATAATGCCACTAATTAATTCATCAAACTAATAAAGATGTTTCTATGACAGATGCGCAGAAATTAGATCTCTTTGAGAAGCTTGAAAAGAAGCATCAGGTATTGATTTATAGCTTAATTACTATTCTACTCTCTTCTCTATTCATTGGAACAATAGATAAGAAACACGGTAAACAAAGTTTCTTTATGTTTTCCTTTTCTCTGCTTGCCGTCTGGGTTGATTTCTTGATTTTTTTCTGAGATTTCTTCATTTTGGTATATTTTTATGATGTTGTTTACTTGAAATGCTGGCCCTTTTATGAGATTTCTTCATTTTGATATATTTGTTATGTTGTTGATTACTTGAAATTCCTAGGGCCAAGATGAGAAAGGTGGAAAGGAGAAGAAAGAAGATGAAAACGAGGAAGAAGATGATGAAAGAATGGAAGAGGAGGATGAAGAATTTAGCGATGATGGTGATTATAATCAGGTTTCTATGGGAAACTTTGACTCGTATATTTCTATTAGGATTTCAGTCTACTTCCGACAGCTTTGTTACCTGCTGAGTGCTGATACCCCTGCATTTGTTTTCCTGAAGGGCACCTTATTTTTCATTTCAAATTTTTATGCTTGAGTAAGGGGTTGTAGTTCGTTAAGACTTTTCTTAGTAGTTTTGCTGTATGGTAAGAATATAAGGACATTCAGTTAGAGGGTTTGAATTATCCTGTAGAGTTGATTGATTCTTTGAAGACACTATAAAACTGTCCTTGGAAAACAATTATTGAAGCATATACGAAACAAGCATAACTGTGCATTCTTCTTCTTCTTCTTGTTGGAAGTAGATCAACTTCTGTAACAAAACCGGTTGCATGGAGTTGGACTTTCCCTTAAATTAAGTAAAGCATGAACTCTGAAGTTGACACTGCCTAAATTGAGGCAGTCATTACGAATCATGTAGCGAATGGCTTACAATTACATGGATGTTGTGTGCGAGTCAGGCTAATATAGATGTGTTAATTGAGATTTTGATTTACTTAAAGAAGGATTATTGCTTAGCTTGAAATATATATGATTTAAGTGATTCATTGAGATTCGATATTTACTGTACCTTTTATTTGGATAAAATTCATGTTTTGGTCGTAGGAGAGATCCTTTCATGATATAAGCTGGATTTAGGAGCTTGTTTGGAGAATTATGAAAAAGTTTGTTGCATATTTGTGTGGCACATCATGTTTCTTCAAATTATCCTAAATCTATAATCCTATATTCCTCCACAAATGTAGTCCATAAAAATGTGGACATATTTCTCTGTTGATTTGTGTGGCACATAATGTTCAATCAAATTATCCTAACTCTATAATCCTATATTCTTCCACAAATGTAGTCCAGAAAAATGTGGATATATATCTCTGTTGAAAGTAACTTGTAATTGAAGCTTTGAACAATCTTTCAGAACATTGATTTTGATGACGATGAAGATGACTTCAACATGGATGATAATGATGGTGGTATGCACCTTGTCTTCGCCATAACTTCATATATTCAACTTTAAGTTGGGGTTTCTCTTGTAGTTGAATGGAGTATTTCCAAGTTTTATGATTCATATGTTCTGGTCTAGTACTCTCCACTCTCTCATCTGACGCTAATTAATTTGCAATGTTGCAGATGAACCAATGTACTAAATGCTACTACAGGAACTGTTTTCTGTCTTCCCTCAACTTGACAAGTAAGAAGAAACGGAGGCACTCCTTTTCCCAAATCAAATCAGTAAGCTTGCTAAGACAACAACAGGCAGAGACCCTTGTATTTCTTTTTCTTAATTGATTAGGTAAAGAATCAAACTTCTAATCCTAACATTCCCTTTTCGATGCCATGGTAGCTCTTTTACTGCGTTACAACGGTTTCGACAACGATGATAAGATCATATGTTGGTGATTACTTTGTTGATTTGACAGGAAGGATCTTAGGTTTTCTTCGTAATGCAAAATAGGGGAATTATAATGTGGGATGCTGGAACTCAGTTAATTGTTTATGCTGTCGGGAGAGTTGGTCAAATTTATCTCATTTAAATGTTTGGTTATCTTGTACGGATTTCAAGCTTCCAACGAACAACGATTAAATCTATTATGGTAGGTTTTGTTCTGCTAGGCCTCAGTGTATATTATAATTGCAGCTGAAGTTATTTTTTTGCAATATGGCAGTCATAATAATGTTTACCATTACATTTTTGTTTCTCAGCAGAACAGCAGTCGCGGGAGCCTCGTGCGCTGGGCTGCCCTTGTACAATTTCTGGATATATACTATTGTTAGATGTTATTGTTTGTAGGTAAGAGGAGATAAAATTTGGAAATTTAGAGATGGCAAGCGGAAGACTTGGACCCAAACTTTCATTTGGTGGGATACCACTTAGGCTAAGCTTTGATATATCTTTGAAAAGAAGCATCATGCCATCATATGCTATGACCTAGTGAAGTTCTAAAAGTTTTACTTTACAGTCTTTCAACTGACCTTGAGAGATTTATATAATCTTTAAGGAGAACATTTTAAACTAATTGGCAACTTGTATTTCAAATATATAAGGAGTCAAATTAATGTTATTGTTACGTCAAATTCAATGTGAATTCTAAATGAGATCTCTTGAAGAACTATCTTGTTTGTCCATTTTTATCTCGGATTTCACACTAGTCATACTTGATAAATTAGGTGCCTTGATTACTCAATTGAGTGTTTAATTCATAATGGATTAAGTGTTTTTTTAATTTGATAATGCATTTTGAATATTATTGAAAACAAACAATAAGTACCGCTTAAAATGGGGTAAAATTTTAAGTGATATGGATATCACTTATCACTAAATGGTGAACACTGAAAATTAAAAGAACAAAAAGTATTTACTACCTCTGTCTCATTATAAATGACGCCTTAATAATTATTTAAAAATTTCAATACTTAAAATTTAACTTTTTAAATTCTTAGTATTTTCAATTTTATCAAATAACATCTTAGTCTTATGCCACAGGTAGATTATTATGTGCAGTTATTGCGTAAGTATAAATTTTAAAGTAACATGAAAATCACTTATAACACAATGTTAAAAACATATCAAAAAAAAAATTAATTATCAATTAAAAATTTTTATATTTAAAATTTAACTTTTAAAATTCTTAATACTTAATTTTCAATTTTCTGAAGTAAAAATGACCAAAATAATAATGCCACGAAATATTCAAAGGTTTTAAGTAATTATATTACACTACTATAAGGTTTAAACTGAAAGACGTTATAGTATAATAAAGATGTTAGGAGAGTTGGACCAACCTCATTTAGTCATTTGTATGCTTTAAGATTAGAACCATTAATTATACACCAAGTGTACGACCCACACATGAACAAGTTATAGATCACAAATGGTACAACATCACGTGAGACCCAGCTCTAGTGGGAACCACTTAGTCATGTGTGGGTCCTACACTTAGTGGGTCCAGTGCTGACTTGTCATTCAAATATGAATGTCACTTCCATCAATCAACGGCTGACGTGTCGCTTGGGACTCAAGTGTCACGTAATTGTATCAGAATTTTCCAGACTTCTACTATTTATGTCTTCCTCAGAGTCGCACAGACAATCGTTGTAATCCGAAGAAGATCGATAAAAAAGATAAGAAGAAAAGAAATCAGTGATAGAAGAAGAAGAAAAACAGAGTGGGAATTGAAAATGTCGTGGCAAACATATGTGGACGATCACCTGATGTGCGACATCGACGGTAACCACCTTACCGCCGCTGCAATCCTCGGCCTCGACGGCACCGTCTGGGCTCAGAGTGCTTCGTTCCCTAAGGTTTTCTGTCTCTCTCTATATATATCTTATTGTTGTGCTGTAAATGTATTTATCTTTACCGATCCGTTAATATATAATGTTAGGTGATTATTGTATTTAGTCGGTTAATGGATGTGATTTGTCTTGTAATTAATTAGTTGTTTCTCTCTCTTCAAATTTAATTATTTATGATCTTAGGTTATAATTGTTTTTCTACGAATCTGTAGTTGCGGAATGTTTACTGTGTATTGATCAATCTGTTTGTTCCATTGTTAGATTAGATCTGTATACTTTTTAGTGATTCTCCTTCCATTTAGTCGAGTTATAATTTCTTTTTCTCTTTTTTTTTTTTCAAATATATATATATATATATATATTCTTTTCTATTGTATTATATAATCTGAGATTGATGTCAGAGGAGATTCAGATTGCAGAGTTAGGAGAGAAAAGATAAATGTTCTGTATGAGATTGGCAAATTTGGCAATATGGTTGCTCTCAGTTAACCTCACATGTGGGGATTTCAGAAGAGTGTTTTTCTGTTCTGCATTTTTTATTTTTTATTTTTTTAATGAATTATTTTCTAATTTCCCCTTTCATTGCAATATGCATTTTGTAAGTCTGGAGATTTGATTTTCCTGCATGTTGATTTTGTCTGTTGTGTGATTATTAACCATGAAGAGAATTTTCCTGCTTATTTGCAGTTCAAGCCCGAAGAGATCACTGGCATCAACAAAGATTTTGATGAACCTGGCTTTCTTGCTCCTACTGGTCTACACCTTGGCGGCACAAAGTACATGGTAATCCAAGGAGAGCCTGGCGCTGTGATTCGTGGAAAGAAGGTATCTCATTTTTCTCATTTAAGCCTTTCTTTTCCTGCTAGGCAAACAAAATAATTAATGGTTCTAATGTTATTACCTTCTCTCAAAAAATTTTATACAATCTAGATTATGGATTATGCTTCCATTCCTTAAAAGATTCACATATTTATCTGATGCCATAAGCTTAAAAAGTAGTTTCAATGTAGTCTCATCGTAAATACAAGCCTTTTGCGGTAGCTCTTTATATTTTTTCCTTTAATTATGTTTTGAAAGATGTGAGAAGCAAACTCTTAGTTGTATGCTTTCATGATCACTTCACTTTATTTACTTTTAAAATCTCAAAAGTATCCATATTTTCATTTATTTGGGATCAACTTGTTTTCTTGTCCAGCATATATTATGGAATACCTGGCATGCCATTGGAAGCACAATAATAAGCCTCCATGGACCCACATGAGACACCATCTGGCCATCTCTTAGAGAACACAATGATTGATTGTTTGCTATTTGCCAGTACACAATTACACAGGCTTGCCGGCTTGGTTGCTTTTACTTTTGCTTTTCCTTAAATCTTATAATTAAAGCATTCCTATTGATTAGATTCATTAGACTTCTCTTCTGCTGCAGCATTACGCCAATCATGATATTTTCCCTGTTGATTAGACTTCTCTTCTGCAGCATTCCGCCAATCATGATATTTTCCCTATTGATTAGACTTCTCTTCTGTAGCGTTCCGCCAATCACGATTTTTTACAAGTAGACTCATAGACCCAAGCATACCCTGGCTGCATTTCATTTTTTTCGCTTCCATGATGATACTAGACACAATCTATGCAAAGTGGCATGTCTAAGTAGTACAAGTTAAACCATTAGCCGAATTTGAATTCTGAAGTTCCTCGTCTATTCAATTTGCTAAAGCCCATTGACGTAGTATCAGCAGATGTGTGCCTTCATATTTTAAATTTATCAATGATTGATCCAGTTGTCCATTCAGTATGAATAAAGAATCAATTTGTAATACATTATTTCTGATAATATTGAATTCCCAAGTTAGCTGCTGTTTGACAAAACTGAAATTAAGCTCTGAAAACTTTGAAGTGCTGAATTTACAAATTTGAAAACTTTTTTTTTTTTTTTTTTCCTAGTTGGTACTCACACACACATGTCTCTTGTGAGACTTGAATCCCTGATCTCCCTTTGGGAAGTAAGAGGCTGATACTGCTAGGCCACTGGCCCATTGATACAAATTTGAAAACTTGTTTGCTACAGTCTGTTTTTATTATTAAATTGTTTAAAAAATACCAAAAACTGATCTCTAAAAAAAAAAAAAAAAAATTTTTCTTAATTGATCTCTAAAAAATTAAAAATAGCAATTTAAAATTTTAATCTCAAGATCCTGTAATAATTTATTTTTACATGCAATCCATAACGTGTCACTCGAAGCCTAAACTCACATTCTCATTCAAGATCAGGTTTGATGTTGTCTTTGACATTATTTTTGTACAACTTAATTTATCTCAAACTTGAATTCGAATTCTCAAGTTTGTTTGTTTAAAAAAAAAAATTCTTTAAATAATTGCACCAAGAAATGAACCCTATAAAATATCATTTATATAAGATTAAAAATTAAATTGAGTCACTAAGAAGTTGTGACTTCTTTAATTTTCTTTTGGACTAAACTAAGAAAAAGAAAAAAATTGTCTTGGACTAAACATATTGCCAACATATTGCATACCTGACCAACCTTCTGATGAACCAACCTCCTCATATACAATACATGAACCAGACCGATAGGAGGAACCTTAAAACATCAAGTCTCAACTCTCAACTGCAGTCCTTTACTGGAGGTCCTCTCTTTCCAAGAACTCCACCATTAATACCACTATTGCATGTTGAATTTGATATCCTTAATTCAAATTCCATTCATTCTCACCATAAACATTTTTGTACAGATACATGTGCGTCTACATATATCTGTATTATAAACTATTACTCCTCTTGAATCTCTCCCTCAAAGTATCCCGCTTTAAAGATCTCTCTTCTCTATATCTTTCTATGCCTGAATCTAAGTGGGGTTTGAAGTGGTGGAGGAACTGGATCAGAAAAAAGAGGGACTCTAGTCGGAAGATATCTAATGAAACCGTTGTAATGATCTCCTTTTGTTAAACCCTGTTTTGGTTTTTAACCCTTTTATGACTTACATTCAAATGCATACACACACACACATATATGTATGTATATAAAAAATCAAGTATCTGTCATGGACCTATCCAGTTACTTCAAGATTATAATTTGTTTAAAGCTGATTTGAAGAAATGAGTGTTGATCAATCTAGTAAGATTGTTGAAGGTAGGTCTTCTAAATGGATATAAAGGTGGTCTTGCTGGTGTGTAACAAAGGTGATTATGAAATTACAAGGATTGCAGCTGTAAATGTAGGTGATAAACTGGAGGTTTGGTCTCTTCTTTGGCTGAAAGAAGCTAGTGCTGATGGTGGTTTGGGGGATTAGAGGAGAGGGTGGCTGTTGTAGAAGCTGGCACTGAGTTTCAATAGAAGGTGACCTTTGGGCCTTTGGTGGCTTTCAACACTGAAAATTTGGGAGCTCATTGCAGATGGTATATGGGAGTAGATGTCATTCGGATAATTTTTTAAAACTCTTACCACAGAGTGTCTTTGGTCCCTATTAAGTGATATTTAATTTTTTTTAAGTGATATTCTAAATGAGTTATAAAACACAATTAGAAAAACACTTATTCGGTTCAGTTATAAGTGATGAATTAGAGTTGAATAAGTAGCAGACATGAAGCAAAGTTCTTGTTCTTACACTTATAAGCTGCTGCGTGATTTATTTATTTCGCAGGGCTCTGGTGGTGTCACTATAAAAAAAACTGGTCAAGCTCTGATCTTTGGTATCTATGATGAGCCGATGACTCCAGGACAGTGTAACATGATTGTTGAGAGGATGGGAGATTATCTCGTTGATCAGGGCATGTAGATCTTTTCTCCAAGTCACAATTTCCTTTTATATTAAACCTGGGTTCTGGGCTTGCATTTTTTTCCTTCTACGGCTATGAACTTATGGGGGGAGTTGTTGCAAAAAATAACTCTGGCAACAGCAACAGTTGGTTTTATGGCATATTAATTGTGTATTTATCATTTTTATTGTTTTTTTTTTTGTTTTTTTGGTGCTGCAGTTGAGATATTTGAGTTTTGATTGTCCATGGATTTTCATCTATATATGATCAAATTATTGTGGTTGTTATTACTGTTGATTTCTTCTAGAACACATCTCTTGGGACATTAACTTGTTATTAGGACGCGTTTTTCATCGTCTTAAATGGTCCTTCAGGACAAATGTGGTCAGCAAATTGGGTTGCATAGAGAAATTGCTTGCGTTGTCGGCATGGCAAATGGGTTGGATAGAGAAATTGCTTTCGTTGTCGGTTGAAACCATTGTAAGTTGCATGTTTGGTAGCAAGAACAATACTTAGGTCTTAGGTCCTATGTTCATTGTTATGACTGATGAACACATACGGTTCAATTAGGGGAAAATTTAAAAATATAATTATGTATATTTTCAAATATGCTAATTTTTTTAATTTTAACTTTATCAAATTAATTACAAAATTATACAAAAATACTATTTATACTCTTTAATGATTCTAAATGCTCGTCTTTTTCTGAAAATTCCGGCGTGGTTCCAAGTCCATAAACTTCATTATTTTCGGTGATGAGGTATTTCCGGTGACCAGACTAAATGTAAGAAATTAAAAAAAAACACCCATTAAGCAAATATTTGAACTAAATTAGAATACCCATTATATAAATATATATTGTACTCATCTAATAGAAATCTAAACAACTAAAATATTGTACTCATCTAATAGAAATCTAAACAACTAAAAAAGAGAAACCTGAAAGAAAAAAAAAATCGCAAAATCTATCAATCACCCATTTCTTGCCTTCGGATTATAGGCTTTCATTTGGTTGATGCTTTTTTGAAAAACCTATTTTAAATTTAAACACAAAAATTAAAAAGAGCTTTTGAACAAGGAAACAATCTTTAGTTGTTTTGATGACCCAAAAGAAACGGAAAGCAGTGGTACACGGAAGTGATATAAAAATGGGTTGTGATCAAGAAAATTAGGGAGAGAAAATGGGTTTGAGAGAGAAGAAATAAGGAATAAGCCAAAAGGGGTTATAGACCTAGTTAATTTATGTGATTTTATTGGAAAGGAAGGAGGTGAGAAAGGAGTTGAAGATTTTGAATGGCCCATATTTTAAAGCTTGTTCGAACGATGATCACTTGAACTAGAGAATTTTAAAATTGACCCATGTTTTGTTTGTTGGAGCTCATCGCACGCGGACTTTTAAAAAAAGAGACAAGGGTATTTAGGACTATTAAAAAGTCTAAATAGTATTTTTGTATACTTTTGTAATTAGTTTGATAAAATTAACCGTCAAACTTAATAATTTTAAAAAATTAGCATATTTGAAAATATGCATAATTAAGTAGAATTTTTTTTGAATTTTTCAAATTACAAATTCAGAGGAGACGGAGGGGATCTAAGTATTATCTTTCTAGTAATTTGAAAATTCATGGTTGGGCAAAGCAAATTCCATGGATCGATGTCTCATTTGCCCAATATTAGGGCTTAATATATTAATTCATCAATTGAATAGGTTGCAATGATGGGTTTATTTGATTTGACATGTTTGGATTTTAAAGGGTATTGAAAATAAATAAGGCTTCAAATTTTTTTCAAAAATTTATTTTTGTGCTCTTTAATATTTGATTGTCATAAAATATTTTAACGATAAAAACGTACAAATGTAAGTCTAATAAATAAAAATTAAAAAGTAGACAAAATATTTTATTTATAATTAGCTCATTTTAAACAAGTAATGTGAATTTATTTTAAGTCTATTATTCTACAGTAATTTCTTTCTTTTTTATTTTTAATTTTTTAAATTCAAATTGGAAAAGATTTGAATTCCAAACAAAACAAGGGTATTGTGGGTAATAAGATGTCAAGGTTGCGAAGCCACAAAACCCTAATCCTCACAAGAGCTCCTCTATATATTTAGATATCTTCCTCCTCTTCGTTCTCTACCACGGCCTCCCTCTCTCAATCTCTCGTCTCTTCTTTTCTTTGTGTGCGCATAATTTCTTCAATTTATATAGTGCGTGTTGAGTGTGTTGATCTCTCTGTGCGTGTTGAGTGTGTGTTGATTATGTGTGTTGATTGTGTGTGTTGAGTGTGTTTATGTGTGGTGGTCTAATTTGTGTACTAAATTTATGGTTGAAGAAAGAAAGCAGGGATTGTGTGTATCGGCGTTGTGCTACTGAAGGTGCACAGTGTCCGAAAGAGTTCCCTGCGACATAGATCTGGGGAAGGTGGGCAGTTGTGTTTCATTCCTTCGATTGAAACTTTCAACAATCATCTTCTCCACATTTCTCTCTTATATGTTTTTTCTGTTCAATTTTTTATAATTTAATTTACGAAAGTAAAATTTTCAATATTTTTGTTGCAATATCTTAGCTTTTACTATTTTATAGTGTATAATGTGCGTTGGTTATATACTACTACCTCACTCCTAAAAAACGTTTATGAAAGTCACGGTTTCTTTAAAGTGGCTTTTTTTTTTTTTTTATGGGACGGGGAGAGTAATACATTAACAGCGTTTGAACTTGTAACATGTTCATAACAGCGTTTAAACTTCATCTTTTTTGGATGAATTTGATTTTGATCCAATTCAGACTTCGATGTGAATTGAAAAATTCTATGATAATTCGAATTTGAGAGTAATGATATTCAAATATAAATTGAAGTGGTAGATTGGAATTGGATTGAGATAATGGCTGGATTTGGAATTAAAAAATTAATTAATTAATTAACATTTTTGAACTAAATTATTTCTTTTAATTTTAAATTGGAGGCTGTTCGGCCGGCAGGAGAGAATTGTAAATTAATCCAAAGCAATTTCTGTAACATGTTCATAATCGGAGGCCGTTTGGAACTGCTTTTTAACAGTTTAAAAATATTTTTATTTCAAAAAATTGTTAAAATAGCTCAGTAATTGAAAAATGAAGTTTGAATTTGGTATTTTTAAAACTATAAGATTAGCCATGCAAAACAATAGGGATCAGCGAGTCAATTGTTGAATTAAAAGTATTATTGAAAAAAAAAAAAAAAAAAAAAAATCCAAGAAACAATTTACTGAATTTAGTGACCAATACCAATTCAATAAATAGCTATTAAGTCAGTCAAAATCAAAGCATAATTAGGAAAAAAGTCCCGATATTGGATCAATTTGGCGTAAGCTGGGAGGCACTCGCCGCACGGATCAAGATCTATCAAATTGCAAGTTCTTCTAATGGAGTAAATGAATATAAAAATTATGGACGGTTAAAATTTTATATTTTATTTATATACAAATTCTTTATATATATACAAAGTTTTGTCAACAATCCTCTTCCGAATTTGTCAACAACCATCTGAAATTGTTTCCTCCTCTCTGTTTGTCAGCAACCCATCCGAAATTGAAAATATTGACTACTTTACTTTCTTCTTTTCCAAAATAAACATATTTTGATTTGTTATTTTATTCCAAATTAACATATCAATGAAGAACTTAGACTATCCAAGTTTTATATTTTATTTCCAAACAAATCGTGTACTTTTTTTTTTTTGAAGAAATCAATGGCTAAAAGGGAAAAAAATAATTAATAATAAGGAAGGGAGATAAGTGGATGATACCAGAAAAAGGAAATTAATGGTATGTTTATTTGTTTAGTTTACGAGTAAATTGTTTAGGTTTAATCTTAGATAAGTGGAGGATACTCAGAAAAAGGAAATTAATCATCTGTTTATTTGTTTGGTTTGGATTTAATCTCAGATACAAAGATTTGGAGAACAATTTCAAATATGTTCGAGAATAAAACTAGTTCAAATTATAATCTACTAAATGGTAAGTAATTTATTTCATGCTACGTTATACAAACAAACCTAACAAAATCCCAAGTAGTATGTAGTTTGTTTCATGCTTATGTTATAAGTACAATCCTAACAAAATCCTACTGAAGAAAGTAATAGGAGTACGTAATTGAGTAGAAGAAGAATCCGAAACAAACAAGAAGAGATAGAGAGGGGAACACCAACACAGGAATTATCAATCAATGAACCAACAATTTTTAAACAAAGTGGAAAAAATTGACTTTTATGACATGTAAATAACAAGAATTTAGAATTAGCCAACAACACAAAGGGAACAAATTTGATGATAATCAAATAAATTTTACTGAAACCCCCAAAATAAATATAGAGATTAAGTAAGGAGAGGAAGACGAGCAGTCCCAAAATAAAATATCAAAGACCATTTATACTGATTCTACCTTCTCTATTAAAATAACTTATACCATATTTTGGAATTAATATTTAAAAGTTTATATATATATATAGAATACAATTTAAAGAGGGATGGTAAAAAATTAGTTATCGTTATTTTTAATTGACGTAACATTTTCACTGTCAGTTATTGTTTCAAAATAAAAATAGTTAATTATTGTAGTCCTTGTCACGACTCTTTCAACACCACTCTAAACAACTTGTGCTGCATCTCTCCTTATATATATATATATATATATATATATATAATAACAAAAAAAATGAAAGAATAGTAAATTAAATGGATAATTTCATTGACACCCCCTCAGATTTGGTCAAATATCACTCTTAAATATCTTTCAAAAATAACTATCATTTACATTACAAACGTTTACTCTGTTTTTGACTCACACCCCAAAAGTTAATTGATAGATGTACCAAACCAGTTTTTACATGTAAAAAGACACTCTTATCCTTTGACTTTGGTTTGACCCACTAAATTGTTTCTTTAATGATTCAAATGACATATTTACCCTCATTTAACTTTAGTTTGACTAACTATATCATTTCTTTAAGTTCTCAAACGACATGTTTACCCTCATATTTATCTTTTTTTCTTTTATTCATTTCCTATTTTTATTGTTCATTGAAGAATACCATGTTCTCTTTTATTCATTTCATATTTTTATTGTTAATTGAAGAATACATGGTAGTGAGATGCTCACCAAGGGATTTTTTATTTTTTATTTTATTTTTTATTTTTTATCTTAGATTTTATTTATGTTTTGGCAATTTCGGCAGTCCACTTGAAACATTGTTTTTGAGAACAATAATTATTTATTCTTCATCCGTTGCAGAAACTGATTTATAAGGGAACAGGAGTGAAGACGAATTCGGAGAAACATAATAGGGTAAAGTGCATTAAACCCCCTTAAACTATTGGTCATTTACAATAAACCCCCATAAACTACAAAAAACCCCTCTGAACTATGATTTTGTTGCAATTTACCTCCTTGAACTCTTGGTCATTTGTAAGAAACCCCCCTGAAATACAAAAACCCCCCTGAACTATGATTTTGTTACAATTTACCCTCCTAAACTATGATTTTGTTGCAATTTACCCCCATGACATCAGCTTCCGGCACTGAAAATTTTGAAAGACCAGTTTATCCTTATAACACACTGCGTCGTTTTAACTTATACACTTCTTACATTTTTTTTTTTCTGCCAAAAAATGTTTTTCACCCAACACAACCCAAAACAGAGAGCTATAGAGAGAGATAAAAGAAACTAAAGAAATCCAAGGCTGGTAGGATGGCTCGGTCTCGGATGATGGCGGCTTGTGCGTGGAGGACTCGGCTGTGATGAGAGCTCAGTTGACTCAACCGTGAACTATGGAGTCGGCGGCGAGCTCAAGGGGGCTCGGTGATGAACTGTTGACGGTTGTGTGCTCGAAACACGTACGACGGTGTGCTCGGCTTCATCGTCCCTTTCAGTCAATCAATTCGCGCGGCCACAAGATCTCTTCGTTCTCTCTCTTCGATTGATTGATTATTCTCAGCAATCACATGCATTTTTATGTTTCTTAACTTAATTGCTGTAGTAAAATTTGTGGGTATATATAGAGAGAGAATGACTTAGGATTTTTTGGGAAGAACTGTACGAACAAAATGAAGAGGAAGAGAAACTGAAGTAGAGATTAGGAGGTGTTTGGGTGTAACAGTTGGAAGAAGGGTATTAAAGTCTTTTTATCTGTATAAGGGTGTTTTGGTCATTTAGTATAATATTTTGTGTCATGTGATAAGCACGCGCGCCGCCAATCGCCGGATGGGGTAAACTGCAAAAAAATATATAATTAAGGGGGGTTTCTTGCACATACCCCAATAGTTCAGGGGTTTTTTTTGCAACTTTTATAATTCAGGGAGTTTTTTGCACATATCCCGATAGTTCGGGGGGGTTTTTTTGTAACTTTTATAGTTCAGGAGGGTTTCTTGCACATACCCCAATAGTTCAGGGAGTTTAATGCACTTTACCCAACATAATATTACAAAGATCTTAATTGGGTAAAAATGTTGGTCTCACTATGGTGGATCGAGCTGTGATGGTCACCGGCGAGTCTTCCCCAATTTTTCACTGAATTTGGACACCCAATATAGCCAGGCCCCGAATATGCCGACCGAATCCTCGCCGTCATCGACGCACTCCTTACCGCCGAGAGTTGGTTCAACAACCAGGCATCGGAGACGAGCTAGAAGGCTTCGTCGGCGAAGACGAGCTTGTTCCTGTTAGGGTTCAAGAGGAGTGCGAATCGGCGGTACTGAGTGGCAATTATGAATGTCTTGCCGCGGATGAGGTCGCGGTTGGTGAGCTTATCGGCGATGAGAGCCACCGCTTAGCCTCTACTGTTGCTACTATTGAGGAGCTCCATTATGTTCTCTCTTTACTTTTTCTCTCTAACAAGGCTCCTTTCTTTTTTTTTTTGTTGCAAACTTTCGAAAAGAAAACAAAGTTTTTTTTTCTCATTTTCTTTTAGATTTGTATTGAAAAGGCCCATGATGGGGGCTCAAATCCCCTGCTGTGAGTTACCCTGCAGTCCCCTGCTGTGAGCTGATGAAAGGCCTTAGTTTGGCCACGTGTGCTTCAGTTTGTAATATGTCTGTGGGCTCCACTAAAATGGTGCAAAACGCATTATTCCGTTAAATCTGCCTTCCGTTAAACATCCATCTCTCGGCATCTCTGAAAAAGCCCAAAAGAGCCGGCTCTACAAATTAATTGAGCCGTCTCCAAAAAATTGGGTTGAGCCGTCTCCACATTTCTTCTTGAGCCGGCTGTCCATTATTTTTTTTTTCTTTTATTTTTATTTTTTTTTTGCTTGGCAAGGAGCCGGCTCTAAAAATTCTGAGAACCGGCTCCATATTTATTATGAGCCGGCTGCCAACTCAAAGAGCCGGCTCAACAACTTAGAGCCGGCTCCATTGAACTTCAAGAGCCGGCTCCATTAAATCCCAAGAGCTGTTAAATTTAGGTGTGAAATTAGTTTGGCAAAGGTGTGAAATTAGTTTGTTAGAAC